CACAATGAACCATTTTGCTAAATTAGCCCACTACCACTGCGTTCATGTTAGTCATGTAGAAGTCAGAATATGAAGTCCATACTTATAAATTTCCAGACGTCAGTTGGCACTGCCCAATGTCCGAATAGGGGCTTGGGTAGAACTCGATGGCTCCATATTCTGGCAAATATCACAAGTCCTCATATACTTAAGCACTCACATATACGTGTGTGGCCAATAGTAACCCTGGGTAAATGAGAAACGTTTTCTCACGTCCGAGATGACCAATCGAAGAGCTGTAATGGTACTCATATAAGAGACGATGACACAAACCTTCTTTATTTAAAACAACAACTCTTGCTATATTTCCGCGTTCAACCGTATAGTACAACAATGCATTGTGTGTCCCAAAACGGTGAACACGCGATCTTGTGCGAGACGGAAGACCTTGCAGTGTTTTGTCGAAAGGTCTTTATTATACTTCAACAAGTCCTGACGTCTAATCAGATTTTTGCCCTTTGACAATTTCTTTGCGCACCGTAGTCGTTGCTTGCACTATGATCGTCTATAAATCCTCGCATTATCGACATGACTCGTGTATGCTTTCGCTCCCGGACTTTGGATCATAATCCGGACGTCAGGACAGCGCGTCGGCTAAGATGTTTGTCCAACCTGGTATGTTGTGTTCAACGAAATGTATTTTGCAAAAATTAAATCATCGAGCCATTCTCCGCGATGAAATAGGAGTCTTTACTACCGTACGCAGCGATGATTGATCTGTATAGATTGCAAAGCACTTCTCCCCGAGCAAGTAGACAGTCGCGACAACCCCGGTTGTCGCGACTGATACATAACAGCTCACTCACAACCCTCACCATCATGTTGCATCAACCCACAACCGATTGCGTAATCACTTGCATCTCAGACCACATGAAAAGGTAAATCGTGGTTTGCAATCACAATGACAGAGTCTTCTCTCAACTTCTCCTTCACTTCGGCAACCAGCACCCGGTGATCTTTCGATCATTCCCGCTTAAAACGACTCTTTAAAGAATTTTCTTTAAAGAGTCGTTTGGGGCTGCACCAACGCTGCAGATTTGCGCGTGTATTTATGCAAATAGTTGGTCGGGCCTAATTATCGTCTCAGCTGTTTCACATTGTTTGAAACAAGCCATCATTGGTAGCTTAGACTTTCCCCTGATCTACACGAAACTGTAACGGGGTTACACATGCCTTGTTAGAAAGGGAGGGTCGCACAAGATTGTGCGACCGTACATAGGTGTGTATTACATAGATAGTGTAATCAGGCGAAACCGTAACAAGTAGCACCACGTGGCAGGATTGCCAGTAGTTATGCATTTAGGCTTTTTCAACCGTGGATGCTGTTCTTGAGCTGGAAAAGATATCCTCCGAGTGCCTTAAAGGCAGGCAGTTTAGCCGAGGTGGTCATTATAAGACCGAACGGGGAGATCAACTCATCGTCGCTACTGGATGAAGCTGTACTGGAGAACACAACGAGGGTGCTGAACGCACGAAGTGGATCATCGATCCTGAAGGACCCCAAGTCCGGATTATTTTTTGGTAACGGAAAAAAGACCGTCTTCTCCAAAGACCCGCTGTCGGTCCTACCTCCGGACCGAGGTGTGCGTCATGAGATTGACATGGTTCCGGGAACCAAATACTGCGTAACACACCAGTGGTCCCTGTTAAAGGAGTAGTATGACGTCATTGACGCCTTCCGTGCGCAGCACGAAGCAAGGTTGGTGAAGGGCAAGTGGCGCATCGTTCGCTCTTAAGATAAGGTAAACGCTGCCACCATTACTGCGCAGACACCGACTCCGAGGAAAAATGTTCTCCAGAACAATATGGCTGGCTATACGAAGCACAGTGCACTTTACTTGGTCGATGGTCATTACCAATTGCTCATGAGAGCGAGTGATATTCCGCTAACAGCGGTGAGTTCACCGAGCGGGATGCTCTGGGAGTGGCTGGTGGTGCCCCAAAGCTTTTCAATGCACCGTCACCATTTAATCGTCTTGTGACGCAGTTATTAAGACCCATCGAGCGTATGCACATACATACTTGGACGAAATATTCTTCCACAGCCGTCCGGGGAACGAAGATCAAATGAGGAAATGCGTCGTATATTCGAGAGCGGTGCTCGAAAGCATGCGCTAGAATAAGCTGTATGCTAATGCAGATAAATTCATCTTTGGCGCGAAAGATATTCTCTTTATAGGGTGCTTCATTGGGAAGCGTGGCTTTCGAGGGATTCCGCTAAGATCAAGGTCATTTATTGAGGATTGGCCGGTTCCAAAGTACCAAAGATATTGCGCAAGCGGCTTTGCCCCGGCAACTACTTGCACAAGTATAGCGCCCATTATGCGGGAATGGCACGGCCAGTGTCCAATCTTCTTAAAACGGATGAAGAATGGTGTTGGAAAACTGAGCATCGGGAGGCTTTTGACAGGGTCAAAGGCAGCCTCCTTCATGCTCATATACTGGCGTTGCCAGACCCCGATCGTCCTTTTAGTGTCGTCGGTAATGCTTCGACGTTGACATCGGCTTTGCACTGCTGCAAGCAGACTCAAGGGCCGAGATTGGGTGATCGCGCTTGAATATTGCAAGCTTAAGGCTGCAGCGAGGAACTACCCAGTTCACGACAAGGAACTATTTGCGATGAAAAATGCACTTGTAATGTTCAGGGTGCGCCTGCTTGGCTCAAAACCGTTTGTGATCGACACAGATCATTCACTCTACGCACTGCGACTCAGTCGCCTCACCTCTCGCAGAGGATGCCCTGGTGGCTCTCGTTCTTTACAAAATATACTTTGAGGTGAAGCGTAAGCCAGAAATGCAATGATGCGTTGACACGAAGACCGATTTATGAGCTTCTCATGTTATGACGGTGACGTCGTCAGTGACGGTTTTGTTCTGCGCCGCATACGCAATGTCAACAGCGGACTAACCGCAAACCGATGGTCAGCCTGAGCGCGTGAATCGCGTCGTAAAAGACGTTTTTTGCAGGGTCTGCGCTGAGACGCCTAAGCGCTAAAGTGCCATGCCGCCGCTTGTGGAGTTTGCTTTGAAGAATGCAGTGCATGTGTCTACCGGCTACACGCCGTTTTACGTGAATAGGCTTGATAATCCTAGTGTCCCGCTGACGTCGCCATCCCATGGCTCAGGGCTTGTTAGGGGAGAAATTGCCGAACGGTTAGCTGATTTCAGCACATTCATTGTCGGTGAAGAAGTCGCTGGCTTCCTGTCAACAGACTGAGTGTCTTACGACAAGTTTGCGATGCGATGGCTGAAAGCCAAGACATGCAGAAGGAATATGCAGATGAATTAGAAAGAAAAATGCTGAAAACATTAAGGTCGGAGACCTGGCTGTATAAAATCCTAGAAACCTTTGTACACATGCGGTTTCTGCTGTTCTTAAGACGAAGCTCCGTCCACGATTTTTTTATCGAACCTTTTTAGTCTTGGCCAAGCGAGGCCTAGCGTATACGCTGAACATTCTGAAAAAGATGTGCACCCACCCAGGGTTTTATGATGGCTTGCTTAAGCCGTAATGGGATTCGCGCAGGTGAACGCGAAAGCGTCGGCGCCGGGGCAGTACCCAAAGGCGCTCGGGTACTTAGAAGTTGAACAAGCAACCGGTTCTGAGCACGATGTGCAACAACTTCCATTTCCAACGGCGCAAGGGGCTCTATCGTCGCACGAAGTGTCATATTTGCCTGGTTGATGGCTAGGAGCCGCTCCGACATAGCACGATAACCCTCAATGTGAGCCAGTCGGTTCACAAAGTGCTCTGACTCTTTAGGTCTTCCGCACAGCGGTAGGCGACCTTGGAGACGCTCTGCACAGTGCCGAAGACGACGGACGTTGTCCTCCAACGCATGAAGAGCATCGCAACTTACCGGACGGCGATCGACCAAGTCGTCATCGTCCGCCGCCGAATTTTATTTTCTCGATGAGAATGGTGGCGTCGACTACCACGTGCGTGAGCAGCTTCCAATTGCTGTTACTGTGTCTCGTCGAGGTGATTGGTAATAACACCACTTCCCCTGTAAGCAGAGAGGACAGGAAACGAACATAGTGTTTGCAGGGTTTGAACTGGGCTTATTTCACGACGTTGGCGCACTTCATCCTCTTCGTCCCTCTATGCTGAAAAGTCGTATCCGATCCTAAACCAACTTCCTCCAACTCCTGGACAAGGAAAATCGTCACCCGAGGCGGGCGCGATGAGTTGCACTCAATCGCCGAGGGCTTGGGATGTGCTTCCCGTGAGGCCGCGAACGCACTGTACGGAGATGCACCCTGTGCAGAAGAAGAAGAAGGGCTTTGCCCGCGAGTTGAATCCGTTTCAGCTGTAGCCCAATGTACAGCGGTGTCCTCGCTACCAGCTAGGCTGGGTGTTTTTCGTGTCTTAGGCACAGGGCTCGATAGTGTAGAATATATAAAGTTTTTCTTAATGAACGTCAAGGTATCTCAGACACGCGAGCCTCGAATGAGGCCACCGTTAAATGTGAATTGGGGAGATTAACAATTTTGATGGGGGGAGTGTAACGGGGTTACACGTGCCCTTGTATGAAAGGGCAGCTCGCACATGATTGTGCGACCGTACATAGGTGTGTATTACGCAGTCAGTGAAATCATATAGTGGTGTGTCTGCACCATAACCATAAGCCACCACGTGGCAGAATTGCCAGAAGAAATGCATACTACTATATACATTAGGTTTTGCTATATTAATTAGATACTACTATATTAGTTAGGAAAACCTAGGTTTAGATATTGGCGACCTAAAACAATTAAAAACAGTTTCTACTCTGAACAGAGGGTACATTTGCCTTGGCTAAGGTTTTAATACTTGGAGGTAGTGAATTGCGATCCGCTACACTCGTACTGGTTCTTGGAAACAACGTAAGGTTGGTGACCTTAGATTAGCTTCTTCTAAGCAAAGTGCTACGGCAGCCCCGCTGCAGAGATAGCATAACCGCATCGTCTCTTGGAGGCGCCTAGGATACAGTTAGCATCGTAGCACCAGTTACACCCAGCGCCACTTGTGTTGGTGCACTAAGAGTCTCGTATGGCTGCAATTTTGTCGGTGAAGACTGCTGCAATAGCCCATACCCTAGCGAATTTCGAGTTTGTATACGAAAGAAAAAGGTTGTACCTTTAACCAACGAGGATACAACGCGACGATACGGCGCACTCATACCTTTCACGATCGTCACAACTAATGTATATTTGATTGTAAACGCGCTATCGACAGCCCACTGAACTTCGTACGCTGCGTTGGCATCACCGCCACTGTCTGTCGTCTGGTGGACTAATGAGAAGCACAAGCTGTGACAATGAATATACCGCAAATGTCATAGTAGTAGGAGGGCCATGAACGACCATCAGTTCTTGTGGGTTTGCAGCAATACCAGGCTTTCCAAAGCCAACTTCATTGTAAGCCGATATCCGAACATAGTAAAGCTGTCCTTTGTTGAACGCGCCAAGCGAGGTGTTGCACGCGTTTAGGGTCAAGCAGAGACATCAGCTTTTAAGCCCGTACTTAATGCCCACAGGGGGTCAGTCGTAACGACTCAGGTGTAGGTTGACTACAAGTGCTATCAAATACAGCGGGGCTGCCGGAGCTCTTTTGCTTAGAGGGAGCAAAAAATAAGATTGGTGCTGTACTTAGAACCAGTACGAGTGTAGCAGATTGCACTCCGCTTGCTCTAAGAACAGCCACAACCTAAATCTTAGGGCAAATCATGTAACAGGGTTACGCATACCCTTGTAACAGGTTTATGTGTCATGCCAGATGGGCATGGTGTGACCACACCCAAACAAGAATACGGTACGGGGCTTGATAGCCAGTAGTTATACATGTATTTAGATTTTGTCATACATATTTAGAAAAATATATGCATTTAAAGTTAGGCGGCTTTACCGCAGATAAAAAATAAAGTCAGTTTAAGTTTAAACCGAAGAGTAAATAAATGATTAATTAATTAGGTTAAGGCTATGAAACGCTTAGATTAACCGGATTGCGATCCGCTAAACTCGTAG